CTCTAGCTTCAAGAAAATTATTTTTTGTTGATCAAAAGATGCATCTCCTTCTTTTGGTGTAAGATAAGAATGTCTAGAAAGGGCGTTTAAGAAACCTTATTATTTTTCAGGTCGATATGTGATTTTGAAATCAAATCTTGATAAATACATGCTCCAACCGGCTTGGCAACGATTCAAAACACGTACTAATATGAAGTACTCGAAATTCTTGTCATTCATATATATGGTGACTAAATTGGAAGTACCTTTTAGATAATGACGCCATTCTTAAAATGAATCCATGATTGCAAGAAGTTCTTTGTCGTGGATTTCATAGTTAATCTTGGTTGCTAAAAGTTTTTTAGAATAAAAAGCTACTGGGTGAAGTTTATCATCTATTTCCATTTGTGATAATACAACACCCAAAGCAAAATTTGATGCATCTATTTCTATAAAAAAATACCTTAAAAAAGTCGATGCAATATAAGATTGGTACAAAATTAAAGGTCAACTTTAAAGTTTCAAAAGATACTTCAGCTTCTTTTCTCCACTCAAGTTTATTTTTGCAACTCAAACATGTAAGTGGGGTTGCAACTCGAGAGAAGTCTTTGATGAAGATCTAATAATAGTTAGTAAAGTCCAAAAAGCATTGGACATTTCTTATCGTTTTTGGAATCTTCCAATCTATAATCGTTTGAACTTTCTTAAGATCCATCATAAGTCCATCATTTGAAATGATGTATCTTAAGAAGTCGACTTGAATAGTGTGGAATACATACTTTTTTATCTTGGCAAAGAGTCTCATATCTCTTAATTTTTGTAATACACAATGAACATGAAGTTTATATTCATCTGTATTCTTAGAATAGATCAAGATGTCGTCTAAATAACAAACAACAGAATCGTCTAAAAACTCTTGAAAAACATCATTCATTAGATGTTAAAAAGCTGTCAATGCATTTATAAGTCCAAAAGGCATGATGTTATATTCAAAATGCCCATACCTAGTTCGAAACGCAGTCTTCCATTCATCTTTTTTTTTAATATGTACTAGATTGTATGCTTCCCATAGATCTATTTTTGTGTAGATCTTAGCTTGATTCAGTTGATCGAGAAATCTGGATATCAAAGGTAGAGGATATCTATTCTTAATGGTGATCTTGTTAAGTCCTCAATAATTAACACATATCCGCAATAATCCATCTTTCTTCCTTACAAATAAGATGGGAGCTTCTGCTTGTGATTTAGAATGACATATGAAATTTTTGGCCAGATTTTTTTTAATATATTCCTTGAATTCAACCAATTCATTTTGTGGTAAACTATAGATTGGTTCAAATGGCGGTTGTGCTCCTTCTTGAAGGTCAATTGAGCAGTCATAGGGACAATGTTCTAGAAGAGTATCCACATTCTTCTTTTCAAATACATCTTGAAATTCTTGATATTAGCTCAGAATACTACTTGAAGTCTTGCCATCATTAGAAATAGGTGTGGCATAAATGATACAAGCTGACCCTTCTTTTGCAACATGTAAGAAAGCTCTTACACCTACATACATATGTTTAATTACACTAGACTTATGACTTTCTATTAGATTAATTTTACTCTTAATTATACTTTTAGAGAAGTCAAGGATAGGAAAAATTCAATCTATACAAGGATTATACTTTTTTAACCATGATAAACCTAAAATGACTGGATTAGAAGAAAATCTAATTATATTAAAGATTACGCAACTACTATAACCATTTATTACTACATCTATAGGAAGTATTTCATGAGTAACATTTCTAGAAGACAATGAATGACCATCTATAACTTCTATATGAACAAGTTTGGTTTTTTGTACTAACGATATTTTATGACTTTTAACAAATTCTATGTCTAAGAAACAAGCTAAGGCTCTTGAATCTATCAAGGTGGAGGCTTTATTATTATTAGGTCCTAAACACACATCTATTATAAAATAAAGAGAGGATTTTGAGGAGAGGATAGGACCTTCATTAGAAATTGTACAAGATTCTAGCTACACAGTCCCTATTGTAGCTAGACAAATTCATTTTTTAACACATTGTCTTCTTTGTCAGATGTACTCATCATTTTGTGATTTTGTCCCTTCTTTGGATAATGTTGAGCAGTGTATTTAGGTTCTCCATAATATAAGTACAATCCTTCTTGGCAGTGATGACTCTTTTCTTGCTTGATAAGAGGTTTAAAACATATTATATCAATTTGCATATCTTCTAATTCTAAATGTATGTGTTGAGGTGATGTTGATATTGCCATAGAATTGTAGTAATATTGAAGCCCATTTGTGCAACCTTCAAATCGAAATTCAAAAAATTGATTGTCATATTTCACAGCAAAGTGAACTGCTTGACTCAATGTTTGAGGATCAAGTAAGTTGAACATCAATTTCTTTACCTCATATTATAATCCATAGAGAAATTGGCTAATAAGTGCAGCATCAACCCACTCGATATCAGTTGTAAGTTATCGAAACTGTAAAGCATATAATATTATAGATCGATTATCTTGTCGCAAAATACGGATCTTGTTGGTTGCAACATGAATTGCATCATGTTTTCCACATGTAGATCGAAATTCCACCAAAAATGCCTCCAAATTACCCAATATTGGATCTCATCGTTTAAGAAAAGATGAAAACCATGATAATGCTGAATTTGGAAGAAGTGTATCAATGAATCTAACTTGTGATGATGGAATTATATAGCTTTGAGGATGAAGTTCAATCACAAGTTGTACTTGATTGATAAATCCTCAAAATTTGAATCTTGTACTATCAAACTTCTCGGACAAAGCAACTCTTGGTTCTCTAATACTTGAAAAATGTTCCACTGTGGGTGAAAGGACATGATTTGGTGCAGATGTTGAAGCAGCTCTAATCATCTTTATATCCTCACTTCCTACCATTCTTATTGATTCTTATGGTGGTAAGCTAAGTTGATGCATCGCAAGCATCAACTCCCTCAATTGCTCTTGCATTTGTGCCATTGTACTCTTCATTTCAACAAGCTCTGCTATAATGATACTCAGAAAAATATCTAATACCACTCAAGATAAGTAGAAGAAAATAACTTGATGACAAAGAAAATACTAAGAACAATATCAGTTTAGAAGAGGGTAATCTGCAACTTTTAATATACTTATGTCTTATTATGAAAAAAAAATAATCGACTTTTAATCAAGACAAGACAAAGCTCTAATATTGTAAGTGTACTCTTATCAATCTGTCAAAGACATGAACTAAAAGATGATACATAAACCAATGAAATCCATGTCAAAGAAAGAGTAACAAAATAGAAATAAGGAAGTAAGTATATTATAAGAAACTGGAATCACTTATTACCAAAAGTTAAGAAAACTTGAGACTCTTGAAACTAGACTAGAAGCAAGAAAGGAGTTGACAAGAATAAAGAAGGCTTCATTCTTGTCTCTATATATACTATCTAATTAGGGGCTATGTGGCGATGTTCTGTAGGACTTCCATTATGTGTTGACTTTGTAGGACACATGCCTTGATTTTAAATAATATAAATCTATTTTTCTAAATTTAGAAAGATCATTTATGCACTTAATTCTAATAGTAATTTTTTGAAGTTCTTTCATTTTTATAAAAAATTATAAATTTTTGAAAGTAATCCATAAATTAAAAAAAATTTATACAACTCTTTGTATTTATTGTACTTTTTGTTCTATTATTGCAATGAGTTTCTTGTGTTGAAGATTTATTCCTTCATTACCTATAAATTTTCCTGCAAACTTGGTTTTATTCATAAAGAAGATGCTCATTTTAAAAATAAAAACAAATCATTCTTCTTTAGTTTGAAAAAAAATTGTGAATAAATTTTATTATATTTTTATTTGTTTTTAGAAAAGATCAAATTTATTATATTAATATTATATACATCTACAAATTTAACACTTTGTTAATGGAAGATTATAGAATTAAAAGTAATAAAGGTAATATGCATTTTATAAAGACATTACAAATCAGTAAATCAGTAAATCTATAGAATCTAAACCTAATTTTGTAGGTCACATTTTTAAAGTCCTCATTTAATAGTTGTGATTTCTTTTTGCACACGATGAAGTCTTCTTTAACAATTTCTCTTACAACTTTATTTGCTTGTTCATATTTTTGCTTAAAAGTGACTTTTCTTTTTTATTTATTTTGCTAAGAAGTCCCAACTTCTTTAAAAACTATAAATCAATAAAAAAAAAATTGTGGCTCTTGTGTCAATAGTATAAAAATTTAAAACCTTTAAGTTGATTTTTTATAAACCAATTTTGCTAAAGAAAATTTATTGTAAATTTTAGAGTATTAAAAATAGCTTAGAATTTTTCACTTCAAATTAATTTTACACTTTGATGTTTATCTTTTAAAAAGATTTTGGCTCTTTTTTGTATTTGTTTGTCGTGTTGTCTTTGTTTTTAGCAAAAATTACAAATACCACCATTGTGCCTTAGTTTTGACTTTTTTTTTTTTCTTTCAACATCATGTTTTAAATTTAAATTTAATTTATTTTAATTTATTTTTAAACTTGGCGTTTGTGGTTAGAATCTCTTCTTATCTTATGGTCTTTTTTTCTTTTGATTAAATATTTGTTTTAATTACATTTAAGATGAAGCTGCGGTTGCCCCGTAGCATGGACTTTTAGCCTGGACTGCGACAGGCGATGGTTGGATCAATGCATGTAGCCGAAGTAGGAGAAGCAGCCATTTGGATATTCAACCTGTCTTGGAAGCGCAGAACCACTTTGATCGCCACTTAAAACTCATAACATTCAGAATTTGCATGAATTGCAGGTAATAATTGGCTCATTTTCGTTGAATTATAAACCATTTGTTGTATTTCGCGCGGTTACATATTCAGATGATCGTTTTTATTTATTTATTTATTTTTTTGTGTACTCCGTCAGTGGCAGTTTTGTCTCTTCACAACGTTTCAACACGACTGATTGCGGTCTGCGAAACTAGTGTACTTCCGAAGACCGATCTAGAGAATGAAAATTGTAGAATACGGGTTTCTGAGAAGTTTACATCGATCAAATGTGACTGGACGGCGCTCACTGCTGTTCCAATGATACATTGATTAAAGATAAACCTTAAAACCAGCCGTGATGCTCCGCAGCTGCTGCTAATTAATCGATTCTCTAAACTACCGTTTTCATCTCACAGAGATATACTGTTTACCTGTACAAAATTGATAGGTAGCTTGTAATTACAATTGGTGTCTAATTTCCTTCCCCCCGATTTTAACTGTTGTTTCTTCGCGGTAAGCTAAAGGCGGTTCAACTATGAACACAAATCAGCTAAATAATTTTCGAGGAATTCCTTAAATCCTAATGAAATTGTCTGTACAAAAGAGAAGATGACCTCAAATCATGGTGTCCCATCTTAGATCAATGACACACCCCTGCAAAGTCTGGGAATACTCCACCTTCGGTACAATGCCATTGCGAATGCAACGCCATGCAGGAGGACTCTGTGAGAAATCGCACAGGACGACGAACCCCTGGCCTTCATTCGCTTGGAAGATGTACACAATGTCCCCATGTCCGGCGCCCTGAAGCTCGTACTTCAGATACGAGGATGGATCGACGTAAGCTGACATGCAAATCTTGGGGCACATCTGATCAAAGAGCGTGTCCGGCATTAGGGTTACGAGTTTCCAGGCCTTTTTCTGGTCGAGCTCCCAGATTCCAATACCTGCGACTACAGAATGAAAACGATCTTCTCGAAATCCAATCAGAAGGAGTCGCCCGTTGGACTCAACCAGATAGGGGGGGAGAACGTCTGCGAGGTATGCTCGCCCCTTCCATATACGCTTGAGAGAGGGGTACCCGGTGAAGACGAGGTTGGGTGGTAGGGGAACTCTCAGAGGTCGCCACCTCGCGGTCTTAGTGTCATAAGCCATGAATGTATGATATTCTGTCAAAAAAATTATTCAAAGCTTGTTAGACTTGCAAAAATTTATCCTCTCTATCGACAATCTCCCTACATACTGGCACTAGATCACCGTCTACTACGAGAAACGTAGAAGTCGAAAAGATGTGTCCCTAAAGACGGGGTTCGATCCAGCACAATGGATTAAGAGAAGAGATAATCTACGTCTTTTTTCCTATCTCAGGTTTGTGGCCCCTCTCTATCTCTGAAGAATTACGAGTGCACATGGCCTGCAATGATTCTTTAAAGAAGAAATGACCGACTATTCATTTTGGATAGCCTCCAGGGGTAGCAAGTGAAGTCGGGATGTTGTCAAGTTCATTTGTTAGTTGTGCGACAGTATCTGTGTGTTTTGGGCATGCTTAAAATCGAATTAAGGAATAGGCGGGGCACAACGAGGTTGAAAATTTTACCTCGGTTGGGATCGAAAGACAGCATTCGAGTGAAACGCATGTGGTACACCACCCCATCGCAAAACGCCGTGGAGGTGCGAATCTCATCACAGACATGGCTCTGTAGATTGTTGAACTTCTCGCAAGTGGTGCGCCAGCATTCAGTTCGGGAATCATAAACCTCTGTAGTTAGCACTTGCTGGTCATACTCGAGACCGCCAGCAACAACCAATCTGTAGCCAGAACCCTCCGCGAACATGCTGACGACGGGCCTCTGTCTGCGCTTGAGCAACGGAGGAAGCTTCTTCCATGATCTAGTTATGGGATTGAAGACCCCAAACCGGATGAAATGGCTCTTCAGCGCACTAATTTTGTACACCATCAGACCGGAAGCTGCTCCACATAGCGACAGTCCTCCTATTTTTTGCACGGTAGCGAAGTGAGGGATAGTGGTAAAGGTTTGCCAGTCGTTTCGCAGAGGGTCGAATGCGTGCAGCTTGTGAGGGTTTCCTGGACCACCGTTCTCAAATAAAAACAGCCACGAACGAGGGTTTTCATGAACAGAACCGTCACCCATCACCCGCCCCGAGTAAATCTCTCTGTCCCAGCTCTTGCTCACGAGTCTAGTGTGAATGAGCGATGACAGAGGCAAGCGTGCGAGAATTCTTGCCACGAGTTCGGGTTGCAAGTTGCTCCAAATCTGAGAATCTAGCACCGGGGAAGAGGATTCTAAAATTCTATTTGTGTGAAACTCGGAACATCCTGCAAAGTTTGTCATGTCAGAACGGTACAAGCTCCAAAAGTTAAGCTTGCCCGTCGACGAGCTCAAGAGGATCTGCCTGTTTTGCACTAAAGTCCCCATAACGACTGGAAATTTTGGCAATATCCTCAAATCGCAATCAACACCTCTGGGGCAGCAGACACGGTGATCAAAATTCGGCGGCCTCACTTCTAGAGATAAGTCTACCCAACAACTTCAAGTACTTTATAATCTACTGACGACTCTATACAAAATTATTACATCTACTGCTGTGAGTTCTCCAATTTCGCATTCTCGTCTTGAATCGAACCTGTTCGATGACGCTCCATCACTGGGCGCAAACTAGGGCGAAAAACTCTTTAAAAAAAATCGAAGCTTACGATTTCAATGAAAAATTGCACTGATTTTCTCGAACCGGGCTGCTTGCACACAGGACTAGTTCAGTACAATCCTAAGTTGTGGAGGCCAAATGAATCGTATCTAATCGCACAGTCTCGTGATAGAACTAATCCTCGAAGCGCCGCGTCACCGAACGAAACCCCTCATCACCCGACTCTAAAACTCCGTATTCGACTGATTGATCAACTACTAGGCATCAATCTGAAGTAGCTCCTAGAATGGAGCACAAGAGCAAGGGAAGAAGCCAGAGAGGAATACGACAATGAGGAAGCCTTGCAAGCTCTTATTCCAGTTGATGTTAACCCCCGCAGCGGATGAAACTTTTGGTGAAACAACATCTGCACACCTGGCAAGGCTGAACGATTCCTCTAGCAATGCTACATCTCCCCCACCTCCTTCATCACTACAAATTAGGAAGCCTTCAGACTCAGTAGGTTAGGTCTCCGCTCCTCTGCAAGCTCATGGTCTCCCCACTGCGAACTGGACATCGAGATAAAGCCATCTTGTACCCACTGCACGAGCAAGCCTTCCCCATCAGGGACGCAGGACACATCAGGTAGTGTGCAGATGACCGATTCGCTGCAGTTCCAGTGCCCTTGCCCTATCTTCGACAAATTGGGTGCACTGGGAATGGCCCACTAAAGCTCTTCCACCCAAACGTAGAGTTGCAGGTGAACACAATCTGATCACAGGCATCGTGAAGAATCATTTTCAAAGGGTTTCAAGGGAACCTTGACGACCGTGGAAAGCGCATAGTCAAGTCCACTCCTCAAGAATTCTTGGATATGCTTCTGGAGGTCAATGCAGGGAATTGAAAGACATTTGCGCACATGACAACAGTGTGTGTTTTGCTTTCCTGAATCGACTAGATGGCATGTCGCTATGTGTTCGCCATGTGCTCTCTTAAGATTATTTTTTTCAAAGCTTTGAATGTTTTGTTTTCCTTTTTTACTTTTTTATTTATAGAAATCTCTTGTAATTTTGTTCGATGAGTACAGTCTAACAGTATAGTAGTCTTTGAATTGTAGAATAGACATTTATATCAGTTTAGAGATAATTTCATTCTTTTTTTTTTACAGAAAAATCAATTGAAAACACATCTTTAGCACAAACAATTAGACTGACGAAAAAAAGTTGAATTACGGATCAAGATACTAATCCAGCTAAATTTCCAAATATCCATTGGATGTTCTGTTTTTCCTTTTTTTTCTTTTTTCTTTCACCAATTTTATTAATTTGTCTATATAAATTAGGTTTCAAAATATAGAATTTCCTGAACTCTGTCCATCTAAATCTAATCCTTCTATCCAAAAAAATAAAAGATACTCCAAACACAGAAATACGCTTTGAATGCACATCACTCACAAGTATTTGAAAATGAAAACTAAAGATTTTGCCTCCTCATAAAAACCTCAACAAGGTACTTGTTAGCTATGGTGATTATTAGCTTTTGAGTGAGTGGACACGAAGATTTCACAAAGAAATTAAACTTGGTCCTGGTCAAAGAGAGGCAGGGTGAGGAGGCCAGCCGCAGCAGGGGATGTGAGCAAGTTTTCTTTTTTAAGAAGTCAAAGACAAGCTGCAATGATTACTTTGGCGAAAAAAACAGCATACAATGGCCCTTTTCCACAAGAAACAATTGCAACATGCGGTGTGATTAACAGATCACAATCCCTTGCATTCTTGATTGCCGGAGTATCTTGGAAGAAGAAGAAGAAAAAAGCCCCTTTCGAGACTCCTCTACTCTCTTCTTCACCAACTGGTCACCTCTATTCCGCCTTAGTCATTGTCTGTGGCCTTAAAGAAGCTACAAAATTTCCTGAAGTTTAGGTGGTTTACTGTAAAACTAGAAAAGCTGGATGAATCGTTGACCAGAGGCAATCGTTCAGATCAACCCTACGATGGGCCGATAGACTGTATATCCAAAGCGGCTACAGTTCGGAAGCATGACTTGAAATCGTGAATAACGCTCGGTTTTGGATATCAGTCGAGCTTTCGGCGGTGATTCTAGGCAAGAGATTTACTTCGGGTTATTTGTTTAGTTGTGCAGAGAGTAAGAAACTTCCTCAGCCAAGCTTGCAAGTGTCTGTCTCGTTTGCCTTTGAAGCGTGAGTGCATCTGCTCTTTCCAAATCCCACGCGTGCGACATGAGATTGGTAATCCACGCCGTCGTGCTTACATTGACTGCTTTCGTGAGAGCGAAGTCGCCTTCCGGCCTCCGCACCACTTGTGATGCATGTTCCTGCGACGACCTCGGCGTCGCAACCCCATCCAGCTTCAAATGGTGGATGATCTGCAACAGCTGGAAGGAAGGAATGTGAACGAATGAGTCATTGTCCAGGTTTCTAGGCAACCTCGAGAATCTCATCGTCTTGAGAAGAAGTTGTGGCTTTGACATTGTCTGGATTGACACGCGACTGTTTTCTAACCAGACATATCAACTTTCACAGAATCATGTAGGATCCACCCCATGGAATTGAAAGCCGCTTTGAAAGACACCTGGCTGTGACCCGGGGTAGATTAGCTCTATAGTTGGCCAATCTTTTATTCTTCAATTGGTGGGTTATCCGGTTGCCTTTTATTAATCTCTTTGAGCTGAGGATGTGGACAAAAAATGTCGTGATCCTTTCTAGACAGCTGAATAGTGGGACATGTTTTTGGGTTACATTAGGCTCGTCTGCTTCTGATGCATCGAAATGCTACATGGGAATCGTTGCGCAATTGGGAAGGGTTGGCATCGCGATGGATGGTAACACTGTATGGTCTTCGACAGTTGTGTTGTAAATTCCGAAAAGTAAGACTTCACGTTGATTGAGGTCAGTGTTATGGGTTGCGCAGCTAGTTCGATGTAAACTTAGTCCTTCCTTTGCTTCTCTTTGCTTGATTTGCAAGGAATAAAAGCAAGGTGCTATTAGCGTTAAGAGTACACTTGTTGTGTCAGGCTAAGGTGGAAATTTTATCAAATCTGTAAGACCCTAACCTTAAATAGAATACGCCACATTGAAACTTGTTACTTACACCAATTCTGCGAGCAGATGTCACCGAAAAGCACCAGGAGACTCGTACCATTTTCATTTTAATAAAAAAATCTTCTTCTTTTTTACATGTTGCTAGGTTCGGATTCGCTTCCAGAAACGAAATATCCGGATTAGACCACCCCTTTAAAATAATAACGTGCGACAGTAGAAGTATCTTTATCCCAACTACGGATTACATGAATTACTGGAATCCTGTCATTTGATCTCCTCGTGGCACTCTGCAACGGTGCTCCTCGTCAGCACAAGAAATCAACTCTTTTGTTCTCTCCCGATCATTACACGTCTTCAAGGCATGCGTGGTGATTGTGCAAGTTTGGCCGTCTGTGTGTTTTCTATATCGGCCAAATTCAGTTCTACCTGGTACAATTACATTCTGGCTCATTATCGGCGCGTGCGCTCCTGGAACCTTAAGTGCACCACTGATTAGTGCGGATGGGGTTTGAATCTTCAATTCATGATTCCAGGAAGACCACTCATTAATTTAACGAAGACCTTTCTTAAGTCAAGAATTAACGAAATTCGCATATTCATGTAACCACTGATTTGGGATTCAGCAAGCTGCACAACCGTATCGAAATGTATTCCATATAGCCGAAACCACGCTGTTTTTTTTCTCACCGTATCTACTTCTTTCTCAAGAGATCAGTTCTTCATCTGAAATCTAAACCAGATTCACAAGAAGTAGCTGTTTCAAATAAAAGCAATGAAACTGTTCTGGCTTTTTGACTTAAAAGGATGGTTCAGTACGTCTGCATGCACAAGACTGGACTTAGATGCTCATGGAAGACTCAAGCTGCAGTGAGAAAAGTTCATCTACACTATTAAATCCATAGTAACATTCGCGACAAAGAATCCCTTTAGACTTTTTGTTGTAGATAATGGAATAGGCTTTTGAAAATGCCCAAGATTTCAGTCCTTGGGAGCATTGTGACTAGGCCAGTCACTGCGGAACTCAATGCTACATTTGCAGCAGCTTGTGAACACCATCTTCCAAAAAATTGACCCACAAAGTGTGCAGAAGAGTGCTCTTACCACACAAATGATTTGAAACAGCATCAAACTAAGTCTGTAAGTCTTCGTTCGAAGTAAGTACCACGTTACCTGAATTTTACCGATACTCATCTCACCATTTTAGTGGCAGCCGTCTAACGTCGCAATACCGAAAAAGCACCACTATCACTTTTGAAGTCCAGTGGTGCAAGCATCTTCTTTTACCATAAATTTATGGTTGAGCACAACTTCAAACACGTGTCATATGAGAATAGTTTAAGTGGGATATCTTATCCTAACTCATCAAAAACACTGGTGAAAATCGCGAGCTAGCTTCGACAGAAACCGCATTGAAGTAATTCCAACAGATCCTTTGTGCAATATTGAAGCACACCTTCAATAACAGCTTATCAGGAACCTTTTCATGATTCATCAATCCACACCGCACAAACTAGCTTCAATCGATAATGTTGCGCTTAGTACTGCCCACGAGCGATGATTTTCTACCAAGAATTTTCAGCAACCCAACTGAGTTTCGAGATTGCCAATTGTCACTTCATTCATTTAGCACTGTTAAACTAACACCACACAACTCCTTGTCGGAGCCTTAATCCACGTAGCACCCTGATGCCACATTTGAGAAGAGAGCCTCCATACTTTGTCTTTTGCATTTAGAACTTCTCACAAAAACGAATCTAGTCCTCAAAATACATCATTGGCCGTACAATGGTAACTCCAACCTTTGCTTCAGCTCAAATTGCCTTCTGTTCTTCTCCAATTCAATTTTAGAACATGATACATCCTCTTCTTTGGGCAATCGATGTCATCTACGGAGGAACTCATATTCTAGAACCAAGCACGTCAGGAACATCCATGAGCTCGAAAAAATGAATCATGGATCCTGTTGTGTCGCGATGCAATGATTTTCAGTTGAAACAAATTTCATAAACACCAGCGAGACTAGCAAAAAACCCCCGAAATTCCTCCATGGTTGACCCAGGGCTCCAGCCTCAAATCCTGAGGGTTAATTCTTCGTATTCACATAAAATACTAGTTGTCTGCAGGGTTCCAAAAGGATGGATTCAACCGATCTAGACAAGCACATTCTTTGCGCATGTCATTTGAGACAGGCAGCGTATTTCCAAAGCATGGAGTCCACTCCGCATGCGCCAACTGGTATTTGGCCATCTGCCCAGTCTCAGCGGGTCTTCGGGAGAAGTTCCACTCACCCTTATCAACCTCGTACATACAAATCTCGGGCATCGTTTCGTCGAATGCTGGCACAAAAGCCAGATAGTTGCGGCCGGCGGAGCAGTCCCACGCCTTGTGCGAGTTAATCCTCCCGAACATGAGCCCGTAGAAGTACTCATTCGGCACCTGCGTGACGTATTTGATCCCCCCTGTGGGCAGCTTGCTGTAGATCTCAAGCTTCCAAACTTGGATAACATCGGGGATGCGGAGCGGGCGCGTCGCGATGTATACTGCACTCTGGTTTTGACACTGCAGAACTCGTGGCGCTTGACAGTCTAGCGTTTGCCCGATGTTTGCAAGATCTGGGATGGAGAAGCTGATCTGGTTCCATCTCGACATCGAAATCTCGACGTAGAATATCTTGTTCACCCATGTGCTCTCCGCCTTGCCTCCCACGCGACGGACCGTGATGTCCGTCCGCGCTTGGCCGCCAAAGTAGAGCCTGTCGCCCACAATTGCG